TCTCTCTCCAAATGTATATTAAACCAAGAAGTTCATGAACAAGGATGTTTTTCAAAGTAATTGGTCCTAGATATACATGTACTTAATTAATGAAATACTTCTCATTAAAATCAATGTCTGAATAGTTTGATTTTTGTTTTTGGAACATTTTGTAAATATTGCGGTCTTTAAAGGTCGAAGGTATTGCATACAACCTGTAGTAGCTTTGAAACATTCAAGTAGAGTTTTCGGATTAAAATGATTATTTTAATCTCAAAACAAACCAAAACTTGATTTAAATTAACGGTTTTTTTTAAACAAAGTGGTTTTCTTGGAGCATTAAGTTTGAAATGACGTCAAATATGCATGAAATGTTCTAGCTAACAATTGAAATTTATTTATTATTTATCAATTATCAATTTAAATTGATTTAAAAGAAGTACCGGTCCATTTTTATGCGATTTTCATCGATATATGCAATAATAGAGACACTACAAGGAGTTGAAAACAATTGGTATTTGATGAAAATAGGATATCCTTATTCATGACGTCAAAATGAATCTAACGAAGTGTCGGACTGAACTTTGCAGCCTGTGTACATCTATACGAAATGGTCAAATTGATGACGCTCGTGAATTGTTGTATGTTGTTTTGAATTTTAAACCACAGACTCAATTATTGTCTATTTATAAATATTATTATAAACAATGACATGTAGCAGTGTGGCATTGGTAAAAAAAAAAACTTGTGCCACGAATATATGATAAAAATTCAAAACTTAGGCTATCACATAACTTGTTTAACATAAGGTTGGCCGCGTAACTTGCATATCAAATATATCTACACCCGTGGCATTCGTAAATAGTGTTTTCTTTAAAAAATTTTTGTACATTTCCTAAAGTATGGTCTATATCAAAATATTATCGCTCACATTTTGCATCATGTAATTATGGAGAAAGATATAGTACAGGTCAACGGGTTGTATTGATATCTATCATGTGGTAAATTCTTTTTTTTTTTTCTCTTTTATTGATAACAAACAATGATATAAATAACACACAGATAAACTACATTACACATTGACATTCATAGAATAAAGAAAAAAGAAAAGTTATAAATAACACAGATAAACTACATTACACATTGACATTTGATGATTCTTTTCATATTTAATAAAGAAAAAAGAAAAGCTATAAATAACACACAGATAAACTTCATACATTGATATTTGATGATTCTTTTCACATAGAAAGAAGAAAAAAAAAAGATATAATAAATTTAAGACAATAATAAAAATGATAATTATACTAATAATGATGATAATAATAGATAGGAGACGCTAGCTTGTATAATGGAATTATAAAGAATACAGTATGCTCCTATGTTAGCATGATAGGCCACCTTCTACACTTTCAAGAGTCCATAATGCCCTCATGCTAACACGCAGACTCCACAACTGGTTTTGTGGACCTGCTGGTAACATATATTTACATTTACAAATTAATAGAAACTTTTTTCAGCAATTTGTGAATCTGTACATTGTTATATGAAAATTCTGCAATATACTGATATGTATTTAAAGATGATTTAACAATATTAAACAGGGAATCTTTGTTACAAGTTGTATCTGTCAATCTACACTTCATCTTATATTTAAAAATTTTTAAGGCAATGTAAGATATCAATGTATTCATGCCGTTGGTAAAATCTGTGTTTTCATAAAAACCTATTACAATATGCTTCCAACTTATTTTGAAACCTAAAATGGTACTTATTCTATGCCATATAAAATTTGAGTCATTACAGTTAAATAAAAGGTGTATTATATTTTCAATATCTCCACAGTAAGCACAAAATTTTTGCACATTTGGATTCCACTTGCTCACACTCAGGTTATTGTTTAATAGTTTATGAAATAATTTATAATTAAATTCTGCTATATGCTTATCAGACATTTTCGAGATTTTCACATGATATATGGAAGCCCATAGATACCTGGGAGTATCAAACAATTCACTCCAGTAATTTTCCGTTATTGGTCTCAAAAATTTTTTTTCGATGAAAATTTTATAAAAAACAGATGATTTTATTTTATCTATTTGTGTATACCTGTTTCCTTTTAATAGTACAGTAGTACTGTGTCTTATATTAATATACTTTGCCTTTTCACACTCATATGTTTTTGAAAATTTATTAAAAATAGTCTTCATAATGAGGTATTCACACAAGATATTATTTTTGTATAAAATTTTATCATAGAAATACCTAATATCATGGAATATCCCATCTGCGTCAGATGAATTTCTAGCTTTACCAATATGGAAAAATAAACTTTTTACACATAAAAACAAACCAATTTATCTTGAAAATTGGATTAAATCAGGAATTTTGTACATAAGAGACCTCATGTGGTAAATTCTGAATTTACTAGGGGAGGTAAATCAAAATTTACTTGCATTTACCTCCCCCCAGTAAATTCAAAATTTACAAGATGATATATCCCTTGCATATACATGTTTAAAGGATTTCGTATACTTGAAAAGTTTATGCTTTTCAAAATCTCTTGCACAAGCAAATCTCTTAAAAATTAATAAGCCTTGATAAAATGTCTTTCGTATAAAATACAATTTCAAATACTCAGTATTGTAAAGAGAAGACAATGGGATTTTTTTTAGATTTCATACATAGCACAATAATTCTGTAGTTCCTTAACATTACAAGAAAAGGTTGAAAACCACTTAGCTGTGCTCTTGTTAGAACTGCAGTACATCCCCACCTTATTAATTCATTTCACCTGAAGATTTACATTTCATTAGAGAGAAAATGATTTTAAACCTACGGATTCAATATGACAAACCTGTCAACTACATTTGATGAAAAGATATTTAAGTTTCCCATAGCAAGCAAAACCTGGACACTGCTTTTCTTTTTATTTTATTGAGGTACCCATCTCTTATCGATACTCTCGCTGTATCAATGAATAAAATTTAAGGAGACTTTCACTAAAAACGTGTTGCAAAATATCATTGTGCACCTCCTTCATCTGATTGGATAAGTAATTGGGGTTTGCCATAGCACTGTCATTCTTTCTTAACAAGGGGGGTGGGGGGGTCCATCTCTTATCTGAATTCAGAAATGCTTCTATACTACTGAATAACATTAATTGAGACCTGCATAGAATCCTTACATAGATTCCTTTTTTACATATAACCATTGTGCATGGTGTATTTCATGTTCTTGAGAGTTTGTCATAGCAAAATATGGACACTGCTCTCTTTCTATTATTTCTATTACGTTAGGAATCTGTATTTCTAATGCGCAACACCTTCCATACAACTCGGTGAATTTAATGAAACTGTCACAGAATCATTATCACAAAGTGTCATTGTGCAACTCCTATTTTTTTTGTTTGTTTGTTGTTTTTTTAGCCGGGCTTATTGCTCAAAGAGCAATTGCCGGCTTATGTGATCCTGTTCAAGGCAGGATGTTGACCCCATAGTCGCCATTTTAAAGTTACGTGCAAAAATATAGTTCTTACTCTCAACCGCTTTTGAGATAATACAAACGCTAAATAAAGCAACAAAAATAAAACAAAGTTTTATCTATATAAAATAAACAGTAGTAATGACTTTGAAAACTTCATAAGTCAAAGAACATAGTTCATTAGCGTAAGGATTTTTGATAATCAGTGTTACCGTAGTTCTCTACACATACGAGGTAAAGCAGGAGAGGGAACCAGACTGGCCTGTTTGTTTACATTCAGCTGCGGTACCAGATTAATTCTGATTCTGACAAAATCGGACCGTGGTATTAGGATTGAAAAACTCACTGTCAGTGTCTTATCATTTATATTGATAGTTTTAAAATAATTTTTTCATCAGAATATAAACGTGATTCATGTAAGAAATTCATTCTACTCTGTAAATGAGCCCGGCTCTCTGTACTTCTGAGTACTTTGATTGTTTGTTAGTTAGTTTGTTTGTTTGGTTTTTTTTTTGATTTGATCGGACGGATACTTGGTTTGTCCCATAGCAAAACCTGCATGGGCTCTGTCATTCTTTTTATAATATTTGCGGTACCCATGCCTTATTTGCAATTTCTTTTGTACCAGTGAAAAAATGAGACTTTCCAAAATTGGTTAAACAAATAAAATGCCATTGTAACATCTTATTAAGGTTCTGATTGGGCCGATATTTGGGTTTAACGTAGCAAAACATGGACACTGTTAGTCTTATGCAATAAAGGGTACCCATCTCTCACCTGCAATTTCACCTATATCTATGAAACTTTCATTCATTCTTTATTACATAGTGCAATAGAACGCCTTTCTTTTCTTTTTGGACTTGTATTTGGGGTTTTACATATATGTTTCATCAAATTAAATTAGGAGGTCACAATAGCATTCTGTTGTAAAGATTCTGTTAAAATTTTATTGTATAAGTAGTTATTGAGAAGGAATGGACCTATAGACGTAACGGACGGATGGACAGATGGATGGAAGAACACCCCAATCACTGTATAACCTTGCTTTTTAAAGCGGGATGTATGATATTTTTTTTTCTCTTGCAGTCCATGAGTACTACTCATTATTTTTCTCCCCAATCACTACATAACCTTGCTTTGTTAAAGCGGGATGTATAATAATTTTTTTCTCCTGCAGTCCATGTGTACTTAATGTTTTGTTTTTTTTCTGAGTACCTTTACGTATTATATAATAATTATAAACTCTGTCTTTACTCACATTAACTTAAACTGAAGGACAGGAAAGTAAAAATTAAACACGATTATAGGGGAAAAAATCTCACTGAGAATCCGTAAACGAGGGTTGAATTATTAGCATAATTTTATTTATGAGTAGTATGTGTTGCGATGTATGTGCTATTAACAATGCTTGTCATGCTATTGTATACTGGCTTGCAATGGCATATTCATTTGACAAGTGAAATATTGGTGTGTAATGTGATGGGTTTTTTGTGTGGGTTGTACTGTTTTCTTCATTTAAATTTGATAATATCTTTTAGGTTTATTGGAGGCAGTGCCCGAGCCTTACCGCAGATCTCTACACGACTAAATCGTAATTTCATCAACTCCTTTGGGGACATTCAACTTCTTTTAACAACTTTGTCATTCGTTCGAAGATGATTAATATCATCCTCAACGCTTCGTGAATCAACTCTACAGTACATGTGTACCTACAGCAAACAATTGTACTCCCTAGTATAGATATACAACTGCACATTCTTTATGTGTGATTTTAAACAACAGTTAAAAGTGATTATCTAGCTCAATATTAATCGTAATCGACCTCCTAAAAAAGGCTTTATTTGTATATTTTTCTTACTATGTGACTCGTTAAACTGATTGGTTTTCTTAATATCACATGAAAAAGTATATTTTACAATAATGACCACTTAGAGAAATCAAAAGATGTATTTTAAAAAAGAAAAAAAAATATTAAAACTCAGAAAAATCATATAATTTTTAGCTCTACTGGTCAGAGACCAGAAGAGCTTATGCGATAGTAATGCATCCGGCGTCCGTCTGTCTGTCTGTCTGTCTGTCGGTCCGTCTGTCTGTCTGTCCGTCTGTCTGTAAACAATATTTCAAAACGCTACTCCTCCTACAATTTTAGTCTGATTTCAATATTACTTGGCACACAAGTAGACTACACTAAGATACATAGAATAGTGCATCGATTTTTGATTTCGATGAACGGTGTTGCCATGGTTACTAAAAATAGAATTTTCTGTGAAATTCCTTTAAAACGCTACTCCTTCTACAGTTTTGGTCTGATTTCAATATAACTTGGCACACAAGTAGACTACACTAAGATACATAGAATAGTGCATCGGTTTTTGATTTCGATGAATGGTGTTGCCATAGTTACTAAAAATAGAATTTTCTGTGAAATTCCTTTAAAACACTACTCCTTCTACAGTTTTGGTCTGATTTCAGTATAACTTGGCACACAAGTAGACTACACTAAGATACATAGAATAGTGCATCAGTTTTTGATTTCGATGATAGGTGTTGCCATGGTTACTAAAAATAGAATTTTCTGTGAAATTCCTTTAAAACGCTACTCCTTCTACAGTTTTGGTCTGATTTCAATATACCTTGGCACACGAGTAGACTACAGTAAGATACATAGAATAGTGCATCGGTTTTTGATTTCGGTGAACGGTGTTGCCATGGTTACTAAAAATAGAATTTTCTGTGAAATTCCTTTAAAACGCTACTCCTTCTACAGTTTTGGTCTGATTTCAATTTAACTTGGCACACAAGTAGACTACAGTAAGATACATAGAATAGTGCATCAGTTTTTGATTTCAATGAACGATGTTGCCATGGTTACTAAAAATAGAATTTTCTGTGAAATTCCTTTAAAACGCTACTCCTTCAACAGTTTTGGTCTGATTTCAATATAACTTGACACACAAGTAGACTACACTAAGATACATAGAATAGTGCATCGGTTTTTAATTTCTATGAACGGTGTTGCCATGGTTACTAAAAATACAATTCTCTGTGAAATTCCTTTAAAACACTACTCCTTCTACAGTTTTGATCTGATTTCAATTTAACTTGGCACACAAGTAGACTACAGTAAGATACATAGAATAGTGCATCGGTTTTTGATTTCGATGAACGGTGTTGCCATGGTTACTAAAAATAGAATTTTCTGTGAAATTCCTTTGAAACACTACTCCTTCTACAGCTTTGGTCTGATTTCAATATAACTTGGCACACAAGTAGACTACACTAAGATACAAGGAATAGTGCATCGGTTTTTGATTTCGATGAACGATGTTGCCATGGTTACTAAAAATAGAATTTTCTGTGAAATTCCTTTGAAATGCTACTCCTTCTACAGTTTTGGTCTGATTTCAATATAACTTGGCACACAAGTAGACTACACTAAGATACAAAGAATAGTGCATAAGTTTTTGATTTCAATGAATGGTGTTGCCATGGTTACTAGAAATAGAATTTTCCGTGAAATTCCTTTAAAAGGCTACTCCTTTTACAGTTTTAGTTTGATTTCAAAATAAGTTGGCACACAAGTAGACTACACAAAGAAACTTAAAATAGTGCAATGGTTTATGATAAGTACAAACCAGTAGAGCTACAGTCTCGACAGAGACTACTGGTTTATATTTATTTGTTTCAATGAAAATGTAAGAAATAAAGCCCTTTTTTACATATCAACTTCACAGAAATTAAAATACAAATAAAATAGTTTCTTATATTTTTTAGTGTCAATTTATTAGGTCATGCACAAGTTCATGTTTCATAAGGACACAGACACACCCTTTGTATATATAAATGAAACATTTTGATTAAGTACTGTAAGATGAAATAGCTTTTTAAAAAATTCACATGTACATCAATCTTGTGTTTACTATATTTATTCTGAATTCGTGTTAATTTCAAAATTAAGTACAATACATGCAAGTTAATTATGATGAATATCAGCTATCACGGCGGGTGTTGCAAGTGTGCAGGCGTTGTACTGTCGTGTGTAACAATTAGCATCTAAAATAAAATAAGAGTTTAATTAATTAAATTTCACACGTTCAGTATTTTCTAGCTGTTGCTGAGAATTCCAATTTAATTGTATCTGAAATATTTTTATAGTAATGTACTTATAAACATTCGATATTATATATGAAAAAATGATAATGAATGTGAAATTTAGGAACAGAAATATTATTAATTGCATGCCAAAAATATGAATAACATCGGAAATTGAAGAAAAAGTTAAAAATCATTAAAATTCACATCATTTTGCTAT